CCTCCTCCTCCTCCTCCTCCTTCTTCCTCGTCCTCGTCCTTCTTTTTCCTGTTCCCCTCCCCTTCCCCCCGCTCGTCCTCCTCCTCCTCCTGACCCTCTTTCTCTCTCTTCCTCATCACCCTGCTCCTCCTCTTTCCCTCTTTTTAGAGAAATCACTGCCTTTTTGTTACGACAGTGTAATTCAAAATAGGTTTAAAAATTCCCACAACAGAGATTGCTAGGTTTTTTTTTTTTTTTAAAACACATTTTAGCAAGATCTTAAAAATCATGAAGAAATTCCAATTTCTAATTAATATTGGTTTAATTGGACTTCCTTTTATTTCTTTTTTATTTCTTTCATGCTTATAGGAATGGCATTAAGAATAAATTCAGAAGCTGGGGAAAATTCATCAACTTTTAAATAAATTAATAACATGTATATTTCCCTGGTTATTTTTAAAGGAAGAATTAAACAGTAGACCACCATGAAACATTTTACTTTTATTACTGACTTTCAATATAATGAACCACAGTCAACATTCTAAACTGTTAAAGTTTCTTGTTATAAATTCCTTAAAAATAGAAAGGATAGGAAAGCTATGACTGTTGGCTGAATTGCATGTCTCAATATACTCTAAATATTTATTGCCTGTGTAAACTTTTGATATATGCACAAAGCTCTCATAGGAATTGTGTTCCAGTTTTAATGGAAAGTCCAACTTCAGATCCAAACTTTAAATCAGAAGCTTGGTCAAGTAAATGTTTCATATGATTGCTAACCCAATATTTAGGAATTCATCATTGTGCTCAACAGTCTAATTGAACTGCTTCATAACCAGTATAATTTATTCTAGGGGAAGAATGGTTCATCGGTCTTTTAAGGAGGGAATCTTTCCTGAAATTGCTACATTAAATTCTTTAATCCAGGGGTGAATAACTTTTTTAAAAAATATTTTGTTTTTTTAAAAAGAGTTGTTTCTCAACAGGCATGGCTATAATATACAGATATTACACAATGGGTCAATGTAGAAAATATTGACAGTTTTGAGGGCCAAACATTTAGGTTTTCAAAAGCTTTACATGCTTATTTTAGCTTGTATTTTCCCCAAATTATTCATGTTGCCCAAATCATTTATGTTTAATGAAAATTTTTTGGAGGAATTAAGGAATTATAAGAAGGTTATGGTATTCCTATTGATTTAATCTAGGATCAATGAAGATGGATCTTTGCATGTACGGCATGCATTTATCATTTGGGATCCTGCCAGTTTTTAAAGGTCTTCATACATTTTAGTAAAGAAAACATATTGTATTCCTGCATTTATTTTTACATATTTGATTTTACATCCTGATGGATATTTTCTTGCTGTAATTTAGTTCTTATTCGAATGTACTCTAAAATATATACAGATTGATTCCCCCCCGCCCAAATAATAATAATAACACAAGAAACTTGAGACTGTGGACAGAGAAAGGAAGAAGAAAATAATGGCATATTTCTCTTCCATCTTACAGCAGTTTGGAGGATATGTGCAATATTTATTACAAATTATGCATATTTTCTACAGTACTAGGAAATTTCAACTGGGTCACTCCTTTATAGATGTATGGTATACTTTTGAAGGTGAGATCTGACTTTGTTAATATATTTCCTGTGAAGCAATAAAGTAGATTTACAGAATCTATTACTGCATTTTTCTTTGGTTAATTTTTTTTAAAAATCCAACTTTCTAAATTGTACCTAGAAATGATCCTGTCTTCCCCTAAACTCTAAAACATGGATGCTGCTTTCCTTTTATCTAACCTGGACATTTTATTCAGTGGAAGAAAGACCAAGCCTTTGAAGCTGCAGACAATCTCTTTCCAAAAGACAACTGACAGAAGCTGCTATTATATGGAGAGATCCGCATGTTCATTGTATCATATGATAGCCTACAGCACTTCTAGATACTGTTCCAACTTTAAAAATTCTTAATGACATATGTTCATATACTATCCTTGTATTCATACATAAAATACTAGAAGACAAGTCTATGGAGATTCTCAGTCATCCAGGTCATGGTTGTCCCAAAGGTACTTTTTCAAGAGGCAACCGGACTTTCTGGTTTTTCTTTGAAGACATTTATCTTCTCATCCAGAGCTGAAGAAGCTTCTTAAATGAGAAGCAAAACGACTTCAAAGAAAAACCAGAAAGTCCAGTTGCTTCTTGAAAAAGCACCTTTGGAACTAGAAGACAAGAAAAAAAACCCCAAATCTTTGTTTTTTTTCTGAACAATTTAGAATTGGGGTTTTCAACTGTATTTGTGAAAGGATTTTTCAGAACATAGTAACACACTTTCTTCTTTTGGTGACATAAATGTACCTACTGTTCTTGTCTCATGATAGCTGGGTTTGGGAGTATAATTGGGAGAGACAGACGGGGAGAGGGAGGGAGAGAGAGGGAGAAGACGGGAAGGGAGGGCATAAACTGAATTAGAGTTACTGTAAAACTGCAGTTAATGTTAGCACCCCAAAGTCACAAACAAGGATTGCAGCCATGTTTTGGGGCATAAAAAAGTTAACCACTCTCTCATTTGTATATTTTAACAAAACTTAGCTAAGTTGCAGTTTTGAAGGAAATTTCTAGTGTTCCTTCCTATAAGTTTATTCCACGCTAAAACATTATTATTATTATAGACCATGTGAATTACTCTACTGTATAATAGCAATAGCATTTAGACTTATATACCACTTTATAGTGCTTTACAGCCCTCTCTAAGCAGTTTACAGAGTCAGCATATTGCCCCAACAATTTGGGTCCTCATTTTACCAACTTTGGAAGGCTGGAAGGCTGAATTAACCTTTAGCTGGTCAGGATTGAACTGGAGGCAGCTGGCAGACAGCCTGCAATACTGCATTCTAACCACTGCATCACCATGGCGAATGTCATGTTCTAGTTCAACAATCTGCCCAACCAATTGCTTTGGAAGCTCACTTTTTGCTCTTGGTGTCCTATAAGCTTCCAGTATTTATTCACAAAGTTTGTTTATATTATTATTTGCAGTGCTTCCCTCTACCCAACTGCTGAAAATTGATGGCATGGCTCCCATCATTTGGAAGCACGAAACACATGAATACTACACATTAAGCCCTAAAGAAGACTTAAACTAATTGCAAAAAGAATGAGATAAATTCTTCAAACCCAGATTAAATAGAAATGTTTGGTTTAGGGTATCATTGCCCTGTACACAGTGGGTCTTTTCAGTTTAGCCCTAGTACAAAAGGTTTTCCAGACATTTTTTAAATAGAATAATAAAAAAAATTACACTACATGATGCAAAAATCTTCAAATTCAAGGGAATTTGTAATGTGACAGATCTCCTAAACCCCAGTTTTCTTGGGAAATATGATTTGTATCAGATGATAGAAATTCCAGTGTTGCAATATGTAATGTTCTGCAGGTAGTTTACCTCTAATCTAAACTATTCATTCCAGCACTGACCACCTCTTCCAAACCTCTCCTTTTTGGGGATGAATTAATTGTAACCAAGAGATATGATACCATCAAATCAAATGTTCTTACATGGCTTTTTTTTTTGTTTTCCTCATGGTATTTTTAAAAATTTGCATATGCACTCTTTTCTTATTCTTGAAAGCAGAGAGAAATCCATGCTATTGCCCTCCTGTCAAGAAGGGACAGATTTCCAGAATTCCCTGCTGTTTGTTCCAGACATCTGGAAGGTATCAGCCTAATAGACATTGTCTGCAGTCTCTCTTAATGAGCATCAATAATTTGTAAACCTTAATGACTATTGAAGCTCTAATTGCTACTGCTTAATTATATGTTCAGAACTAATTCAATTCTTGAGCATGTTCTTGGATATAATAAAGCTAAGTGTAGGGAAAGATTTATGGCTTGTTTTTTTGGAATTATGAAAATGAGAAAGAAGTCCAATGAATGGGATATGATGAAGAGCTAAATCTTTTCCCCCAGAGTATATTGTCATAGGTGGTGAGCAATTGCTTTATATTGATTTCTGCTGCATGGTGAAGTATGACTGTGTTTGCAGCAATTAGTCCTAAATTGGCTTTAGTAAACTTGCAACTCTTCCCTGATAAAATGACTTAGAGAAGAGGGATGAATTTTGACATTGCAACATGATAAATACTGCTTCTTTTCTGAATACAACTTTGTACCCATATAAAACTATATAATGCCGAACATTCAACAGCAGGCTTAAAGGAATAAAATGTAAAAAATATAATGTGAAGTGATGGATCAGCAGAACAAAGGAGCCATGAACTTGTTTAATATTGGCAATTTTTTTTGTAAGAATGTAAAAT